CCCCGATGTCCATAACCCCACCAACCTCTCTCTTCTCCCCTCCCCCCGGTAACCCTCAGTTTGATTTGTGAGATTAAGAGTCTCTTATGGTTTGTCTCCCTCCCTATCTCTTGTTTCATTTATTCTTTTCCAACCCCTCAAATCTCCCACATTGCATCTCTACTTCCTCATATCAAGGAGATCATATGATAGTTGTCTTTCTCCGATCGACTTATTTCACTAAGCGTAATACCCTCTACTTCCATCCACGTCGTCGCAAATAGCAAGATTTCATTTCTTTTGATGGCTGCATAGTATTCCATTGTATATATATACCATCTCTTCTTTATCCATTCATCTGTTGATGGACATCTAGGTTCTTTCCATAGTTTGGCTATTGTGGACATTGCTGCTATAAACATTTGGGTGCATGTGCCCCTTCAGATCACTACGTTTGTATCTTTTTAGGGTAAATACCCAGTAGTGCAATTGCTGGGTCCTAGGGTAGCTCTATTTTCAACTTTTTGAGGAACCTTCATGCCGTTTTCCAGAGTAGTTGCATCAGCTTGCATTCCTACCAACATTGTAGAAGGGTTCCCCTTTCTCCGCATCCTCGCCAGCATCTGTCATTTTCTGACTTGTTAATTTTAGCCATTCTGACTGGTGTGAGGTGGTATCTCATTGTGGTTTTGATTTGTATTTCCCTGATGCCGAGTGATGTGGAGCAATTTTTCATGTGTCTGTTGGCCATCTACATGTCTTCTTTGCAGAAATGTCTGTTCATGTCCTCTGCCCATTTCTTGATTGGGTTATTTGTTCTTTGGGTGTTGAGCTTGATAAGCTCTTTATAGATTTGGATACTAGCCCTTTATCGGATATGTTGTTTGCAAATATCTTCTCCCATTCTGTCAGTTGTCTCTTGGTTTTGTTAACTGTTTCCTTTGCTGTGCAAAAGCTTTTGATCTTGATGTGGTCCCAATAGTTCATTTTTGCCCTGGCTTCCCTTGCCTTTGGCGATGTTCCTAGGAAGAAGTTGCTGTGCCTGAGGTCAAAGAGGTTGCTGCCTGTGTTCTCCCCAAGGATTCTGATGGATTCCTTTCTCACATTGAGGTCCTTCATCCATTTTGAGTCTATTTTCGTGTGTGGTGTAAGGAAATGGTCCAGTTTCATTTTTCGCGCATGTGGCTGTCCAATTTTCCCAACACCATTTGTTGAAGAGGCTGTCTTTTTTCCATTGGACATTCTTTCCTGCTTTGTCAAAGATTAGTTGACCATAGAGTTGAGGGTCTAATTTCTGGGCTCTCTATTCTGTACCCTTGATCTATGTGTCTGTTTTTCTTCCAGGACCATACTGTGTTGATGATGACAACTTTGTAATAGAGCTTGAAGTCTGGAATTGTGATGCCACCAACTTTGGCTTTCTTTTTGAAAATTCCTCTGGCTATTCGAGGTCTTTTCTGGTTCCACACAAATTTTAGGATCATTTGTTCCATTTCTTTGGAAAAAATGGATGGGACTTTGATAGGGATTGCATTAAATGTGTAGATTGCTTTAGGTAGCATAGACATTTTCACAATATTTGTTCTTCCAATCCAGGAGCATGGGACATGTTTCCATTTCTTTGTGTCTTCCTCAATTTCTTTCATGAGTACTTTATAGTTTTCTGAGTATAGATTCTTTGCCTCTTGGGTTAGGTTTATTCCTAGGTATCTTATGGTTTTGGGTGCAACTGTAAATGGGATTGACTCCTTAATTTCTCTTTCTTCTGTCTTGTTGTTGTTGTAAAGAAATGCAACTGATTTCTGTGCATTGATTTTATATCCTGACACTTTACTGAATTCCTGTACAAGTTCTAGCAGATTTGGAGTGGAGTCTTTTGGGTTTTCCACATATAGTTCATATATTCTGTGAAGAGTGATAGTGATAGTTTGACTTCTTCTTTGCCGATTTGGATGCCTTTAATTTCTTTCTGTTGTCTGATTGCTGAGGCTAGGACTTCTAGTACTATGTTGAATAGCAGTGTGATAATGGACATCCCTGCCGTGTTCCTGACCTTAGCGGAAATGCTCTCAGTTTTTCTCCATTGAGAATGATATTTGCAGTGGGTTTTTCATAGATGGCTTTGATGATATTGAGGTATATGCCCTCTATCCCGACACTTTGAAGAGTTTTGATCAGGAAGGGATGCTGTACTTTGTCAATTGCTTTTTCAGCATCTATGGAGAGTATTGTATGGTTCTTGTTCTTTCTTTTATTAATGTATTGTATCACATTGATTGATTTGTAGATGTTGAACCAACCTTGCAGCCCAGGAATAAATCCCACTTGGTCTTGGTGAATAATCCTTTTAATGTACTGTTAGATCCTATTGGCTAGTATTTTGGTGAGAATTTTCACATCTGTGTTCATCAAGGATATTGGTCTGTAATTCTCTTTTTTGATGGGATCCTTGTCTGGTTTTGGGATCAAGGTGATGCTGGCCTCATAAAATGAGTTTGGAAGTTTTCCTTCCATTTCTACTTTTTGGAACACTTTCAGGAGAATAGGAATTAGTTCTTCTCTAACCGTTTGGTAGAATTCCCCTGGGAAGCCTTCTGGCCCTGGGCTCTTGTTTGTTGGGAGATATTTGATGACTGCTTCGATCTCCTTACTGGTTATGGGTCTGTTCAGGTTTTCTATTTCTCCCTGGTTCAGTTGTGGTAGTTCATATGTCTCTAGGAATGCCTCCATTTCTTCCAGATTGTCAAATTTGCTGGCATATAGTTGCTCATAATATGTTCTTGTAATGGTTTGTATTTCGTTGGTGTTGGTTGTGATTTTTCCTCTTTCATTCATGATTTTATTTATTTGGGTCCTTTCTCTTTTCTTTTTGATAAGTCTGGCTAGGGGCTTATCAACCTTATTAATTCTTTCAAGGAACCAGCTCCTAGTTTCATTGATTTGTTCTGTTGTTTTTTTGGTTTCTGTTTCATTGAATTCTGCTCTGATCTTTATGATTTCTCTTCTCCTGCTGGGTTTAGGCTTTCTTTGTTGTTTCTCCATCTCCTTTAGGTGTAGGGTTAGGTTGTATATTTGAGACCTTTCTTGTTTCTTGAGAAAGGCTTGTATCGCTATATATTTTCCTCCCAGGACTGCCTTTGCTGTGTCCCACAGATTTTTGAACCATTGTGTTTTCGTTATCATTTGTTTCCATGATTTTTTTCAATTCTTCTTTAATTTCCTCGTTGACCCATTCATTCTTTAGAAGGATGCTCTTTAGTGTCCATGTATTTGGATTCTCTCCAAATTTCCTCTTGTGATTGAGTTCTAGCTTCAGAGCATTGTGGTCTGAAAATACGCAGGGAATGATCCCAATCTTTTGATACCGGTTGAGACCTGATTTATGACCCAGGATGTGATTTATTCTGGAGAATGTTGCACGTGCACTAGAGAAGAATGTGTGTTCTGTTGCTCTGGGATGAAATGTTCTGAATATATCTGTGATGTCCGTCTGGTCCAATGTGTCATTTAAGGCCTTTATTTCCTTGTTGATCTTTTGCTTGGATGATCTGTCCATTTCAGTGAGGGGAGTGTTAAAGTCCCCGACTATTATCATATTATTGTTGATGCGTTTCTTTGATTTTATTATTAATTGGTTTATGTAGTTGGCTGCTCCCACGTTAGGGGCATAGATATTTAAAATTGTTAGATCTTCTTGTTGGACAGACCCTTCGAGTATGATATAGTGTCCTTCCTCATCTCTTATTATAGTCTTTTGCTTAAAATCTAATTGATGTGATACAAGGATTGCCACACCAGCTTTCTTCTGATGTCCATTAGCATGGTAAATTGTTTTCCACCCCCTCACTTTAAATCTGGAGGTATCTTCGGGTCTAAAATGAGTTTCTTGTAGGCAATATATAGATGGGTTTTGTTTTTTTATCCATTCTGATACCCTGTGTCTTTTGATTGGGGCATTTAGCCCATTTACATTCAGGGTAACTATTGAGAGATATGAATTTAGTGCCATTGTATTGCCTGCAAGGTGACTATTACTGTATATTGTTTCTGCTCCATTCTGATCTACTATTTTTAGGTTCTCTTTTTGCTTAGAGGACCCCTTTCAATATTTCCTGTAGAGCTGGTTTGGTGTTTACAAATTCTTTTAGTTTTTGTTTGTCCTGGAAGCTTTTTACCTCTCCTTCTATTTTCAATGACAGCCTAGCTGGACATAGTATTCTTGGCTATATGCTTTCTCATTTAGTGCTCTGAATATATCATGCCAGCTCTTTCTGGTCTACCAGGTCTCTGTGGATAAGTCCTCTGCCAATCTAATATTTTTACCATTCTATGTTACAGACTTCTTGTCCCGGGCTGCTTTCAGGATTTTCTTTTTGTCGCCAAGACTTGTAAATGTTGCTATTAGATGATGGGGTGTGGACCTCTTCTTATTGATTTTGAGGGGGATTCTCTGTACCTCCTGGATTTTGATGCTTTTATTTTCTCCTAGGCATAACCTATGTGCTTTGCCACCACCAGGGTAATAATGGTGTGTGGGCCTTGCCTCTTTGTATTAAAAAACTATTGCTCAGAGGGATACTTAACTGAATCTTAAGTTTTAATACACATTCATAGTTCCCTATAGAAAAGAGATGTATTTCTTGACATAGTATAAGATTAATCATGAATAATTCATGATTATAATATATTGAAGTAGCATGTTATATAGAGTAAGTTTTTTTTTTTAATATTTCCTTTAGGTACAACTTTAGATACCAGTCACTATACTATTTTCTTCATTTCCTATTCTGATTAAAGAGACCTTGTTTACTCCTCCTCTCCCTATATACTTTTCAGTTTGTATCTAGCATATAGGCACATTTTGGAGTAATTGTTCCTTTAAACTTCATTCTGCCTGCTTCCTGCTCCAATGAGGGAGTTAATTGTGGTTGTATTTGCCATTTCTTTGTAAATGTATATCAAATTTGTGAGACTTTGAATTTAAATTAACATGTGTTCTCACTCTTCCCTTTTAATTTTAGGATACAGAATTGGTTGATTTAGATTCAGATGGTCCTGGTACTTCATCTGGGAGAAGGGTGAGTGAGTAAAATAACCTGCCAAAAAGAAAAATTTTCAGGCTTCCTGTGTTAGGGATCCCGAAGACCAACTCCACCTGTTTGGAAAATTGCTATAAAGACTCGTAGAACTCAGTATATATACTTGTGATTCATTACTAAGGTTTATTACACTGACATATAATAAAGGATATGCAGTTGGATCACAGGGAAATAACCATAGGCAGAATCTGGAGGAATCCATGTGTAGGCTTTTTTTGCTTTCTGCCTTCTTTGAGGGGCCAAACAGAGCACACTTCTTCCCGTACAATGAAATTGTAGCAATATATATGTGATTAGAGACTAACACCCCAAGAATTTATTTGGAACTGGTTATATATAGATACTGTCTGTCTAGCACATCCCAAGATTCCAGGCTCCCAGAAGCAAGAAAGCATAGGAAAAGTACAGGAAAGCAAGTGTTCCATACAAACCACATTGTTTGTACAAATAGTGTAGACACAATAAACCACCTTTAGTATTTAGGAATGGTTCAAGTGCCAATTATCCAGAATTCCAACCAAAGGCCAACCATACAAGCAAGCCCTGGTAAAGATAGCAGCCTCAGGTCTGTTATGTTAGCTCTGTTCTGTACACTTCCCCTCCATAATAATTAGACAAATTCTTATTCTATATAAGGAAAATTTTCTTTGAAATACTGAAAGAAATCTTATAAAAAGGCATCCAATGGTAAAGGCTAGAATGTATCATAACAACAAAGAATATATAGATATAGATACACAGAGCATATGGATAATATGGGTATATATATGTATATACACACACACACGCGCACACACACACACAACAAAAGATACATATATATACACATACACAATAAATAGATAATATATAAACATATATATATTTGAGTTTTGAGAAAATTATGATGCCATTGTTAAGTATACTTAACTACCAGTAAATATTAAGGCATTAAGATTATTAACCTTGTAAGGAAAAAAATGTTTCTCTGTGTTTTATTTGTGGTTCAGATTTTCTTAAAATGAAATTTCAGAATACTAAAATTCTTGCTATTTCCATGAGTATACTGTCTAGTATTTATTATATATATTTTTGTCAAGCAGAATGATGTCTAAATTAAGAAACTTAAATAGCAGCTCCTCTATGTTACATAGATTTATTAACATAGGAATGCAGGAGAAAATCAATGAATAGTTAAGAAAAGAGCTTTTATATATAATTCTGTTAAAATCTACAGGTCAAATGCCGAGGCAGAAGACAGTCTTTGAGGTGTAATCCTGATGCTTGGAGAAAACAATGCAAAGAACTATTGAGCCTCATTTATGAACGTGAAGACGCAGAGCCATTTCGACAGCCAGCCGATCATCTTTCTTATCTAGTAAACATACACTTGTTTAACAACTTATCTAGTAAACATACACTTGTTTAAATAATTGCCAATATGTAATTTCCCCACAAATATACATGCTAAAATATAGTTTGAAGCCACTTTTCCTCTTTTTTTCCTTCCTTTTTTCCTCCATCCCTTCTTCCCTCCATACTTCCTTCCTTTTCCTTCCTTTTTCATATGTCTTTTAATTGTGAAAGTGGGTAGTATGATTAATGATAATGAAATTCCAGTCATGTACTTTGTGTGTAAATTATATAGTTGTGAACCAAATCTGAATCTAAATATCTTTGCAATCCCTTCCTGCTTTCATTTTGGATATTTTTAAATAAATTTTACTAATTTCTAATACATTTCTACTCACTGGAGACCCCTCATATCATGTCAGCCTGTTTAATTTATACTTAATGTGTTATCCAATAGGATCACTTAGAGTAAATAATGTATGCCATATTACTTTTCATCAAAGATAAAAACATGAGAACTATTATAGGATTCTTTTTTTAGGAGTGTATCTGTTGAATAACTGTTTAGTATAGATAGCAAATCTATCATAACTTTTTCAGAGAAAAATTATAGCAGTATTTCAGAAATGCATCAGACCATCCTCTGAAATTAGTAAACATAAATGTTTTCTGCATACACAGGTTTTAGTTGGGAAAAAATATTCAAATAAAAAACAAAATTATGTTCAACAAAGCTCATTTTGTTTATAAGGAGTTTGAGTAGAATAAACTAGTTTTGTGTTTCTCATAGTAGAGGACAATGGTGAATGTAGAATTCTTTCATCTTAAAGTATAGTCAGTAAAAACCTAAATCCTATTTATTACTTAAAGCTTTAAATCATCATTGCTTTGCCAACTTGATATTTTGTTGTAGTAGTCTGGAAATAAAATATATCTTCTTTACCCTAATAGGGCCATCAAGAACAAGAGGGAGAATCCTCAGAGTCAGTTGTTGCAGAAAGACAAGAGCCATCTCTTTCTGAGGTAGATCTAGGTTGTCTCTTAAAAGACATACACTGGTTGTTTTTATATTGTTCTACTTTTTAAAATTTACATACTGTAAATGAAACTTATAATTTGTAAAGCTGTTTTCCAATTCTTCGTACTCTTTTTGTCTTTGATTTTTTTGGTGGTTTATGTTTTTGTTTTGTTTTGTTTTTTTGTGTTTTTTTTTTGTTTTTTTAAGGTTTTATTTTTTTAAAGATTTTTTTATTTTGTTTAGATCGATAGAGACCACAAACAGTGGGGAGGGGCAGAAGGAGAGGGAGAGAAGCATACTCCGCGCTGAGTGCGGAGCCTGACACAGGGCTCGATCTCAAGACCCTGAGATCATGACCTGAGCCAAAGCCAAGAATCAAATGCTTAACCAACTAAGCCACCCAGGCACCCTTGTGTTTTTGGTTTTTAAATCATCACGTGTTTCCAAGTATGTTCTTTATGTCATCTGCATACAAATAATTGTTTCTATAGACCTAAAGTTACTGTAGTGGAGTAGAAAACATTAATTGCACAATATGTCTGTATTGCAGCTGATTGTATCCACTGGGACTTCATTCAGCCACCTTATGGGATCTTTTGAGTTTTGGTTACATTATACAAGTCCAACATATTTCCTCTATGAAAATCTTTGTTTCATAAGCTATGTATGTTGGAATATACTTTTGTTGTTATGATGTAAGACAAAAATATTTTTAAAGATAGATTAAGAGCAATTGTGGTCTCTTACACTTGGAAATATTTTCACATTTTTTTTACAATTTATAATTTATAATATACTTTTCCTCTGCCCATTCTTCTGGATTTTTGGCTTCTTCTCTGAAAGAAATGTGGTGATTGTTACTTAATGAATTTAAATGGGATAAGAGATCTAATACTGACTATGGTTTTCACTCTTTGGTGTTTAGTTCTTGATGGTTATGATATATATAAGTATAACTTTTAGATTACATGCTATATGATAAACCTAGGCATATCTTAACAAGACTTGACAGATTTAGGTTAAAATAGAATCTTCTCCCTTCCCTAATCAAAATCAAACTAATTCATAATTTATGAGACACAGACCTCCAATGAAGCACAAGTGTCATATTCATTAAAAAGCAAAAATATAGGAGCTAGGTACAGACATGGCCAGTTTGACTTTGACCTTCAACTAATGACATTTTAGGTAGAATGCCCTCCTAGCTAGAAACAGCTTGGAAATGTGTAATTAATTTGTGACATGGAACTATTTAATTATATGTGAATAAACTCATCTTCTACCTTCATTGGGCGCTTTGCTAGGCAATTGGGGGCTCCTTCAGCCTTTAAGTAAAAAATGGAATTTTGTATTCTGTAGGGATAAAGCCAGTGGCTGTGCATTTTCTATTCTGTCTCTTGAGAGAATCATATGGTTATCGATTTCAGAGTGAAGGCTAAGACTCTCCCAGAGACCCCTGCTCTTTTCCTGAGCTACCAAAGGAATTCTGTTTAAATGAATGGTTTTGATTAGAGTAGATAGTTGGCAGATTGAAAAGCAGTGTGTTTATTTCATGGTGGATTGGTGATGCAAATCTCCGTACCATTGTATTATGTAGTATTGCTACCCAGCTTGTATATTTAATAACACATTCTTCCTTGTAGGATTATCCAGATATTACAGACACGCCTATGGACTTCAGCACTGTGAAAGAAACTTTGGAAACAGGAAATTATGGTAGTCCTCTGGAATTTTATAAGGATGTTCGCCAAATATTCAGCAACTCCAAAACTTATACCTCTAATAAAAAGTCAAGGGTATGCAAAAAAAACAATACTAGGTGGATTAATTACTTAGGCATTTACATATATATGTACATCAGGTAGTTTTCTTTCATTAGTTTTAAAACTGCTTATACTTTCTAAAGAAGTATATTACAGTTCTGACATGGTTACTGCAGTGTGATATTTTCCCTATGTTTTGTTAGAACTTAAATATCTTATGAACAAAAAAATAGTAATAATAATTTTTTGTTTTTTGTAATCACTGGTGTGTGATTAACTTTTAAATCAGTTGTGCACTAGATATATATTTGCCCACTTTCAACTTGTATAAATGAATTTTCACTAATTTCTGCAGGCATAATTTTTTTCACTTTTGGTTTTCTTCCTACATATGTACGACATATGTTTATATACTATTTGAAACTCTAAGTTTCATATTTTGAAGCCCTTTATCAGCTTATATATTATGAACATTTTCCCATGTCATGTATTCTGCTGTGTGGTTGTTTTATGTTACTTAACCAGTACCCTAGTGCTTGAGATTTAGGTGGTTTCTAGTTTTTAACTTTACATGAATAATGCTGTGGCTTTCATCTTTAACATCCTTGAACATAATTATTTTGTGTGTGCAATTCTCTGATATTTATTTAGAATAAATTCCCAGAAGCAAAATTATTAGTGAAAGGATCAATATATTTTTAATACTTTTGGAACATAATGCAAATTGTATTTTAGAATGTTGTTCCAGTTAAAATATTCACTGGCAATGTATGAGAATCTTTTTTCTACCCTTCCCAACATTGGATATGATTTTTTTTAATAATCTTTGTTACTTTCTAGGTGAAAATGATATTTTAATTCTTTAGGAAGAGGTTTTCAAGTATATGAAATTGCACATTTATTTTGTCTGAAAGATTGACGCTGATGCTAGTCTTAGGTATACTTATACTTTCTATTTTATATAATTAAAGTAGTTGATTTCTACCTTTTCAGATCTATAGCATGACACTGCGATTATCTGCCTTATTTGAAAGTCATATTAAAAATATCATCTCTGAATATAAGTCAGGAATGCAGAGTCAGAAGAGGCGGCGGCCACGGTACAGAAAACGTCTAAGAAGCAGTAGCAGTTCATTATCTAGTAGCAGAGCTCCTAGGTATGTTACACATATGTAGGATTTTATGTTTTAAGGCACTATGTAGATATTACCTCATTTTTTAAGGTTTATTGAATAGTTTGAGAAGATCCAAAGACCAAAAAGATTTTTTTAAGAACTCTTATTATTGTGTAAAGATGGAGTTGGTAACCCAAAGCTTTGTTTATGTGGATTTTATTATGCCAAAAGCTATTTTTTTTTAATTTTGATGATTACCAGTTTGAAGCATTTCCTTAAATTATAAGGCATTTCTTCAGTCAGCTTAAGCATTTGTATAATATTGTCTATCATAATATGTTGGTAGTAGAAAAAATGTTCATTTTTATATATTTTAAATTGTAGTCCCAAAGGGAAGCAGAAACAAATGAAGTTGCAGCCTAAAAATGACCAGAATACCTCAGTGTCTTATGCCAGGACTAGCTCTCCTTTCTCGTCTCCTGGTAAATATCTTTTGTTTTTGGTGTTCTGTATTTCAGTTTAATACTGATATTAAGCATGTAGAAGAGGCAGCATGATTTATAGTATGAAAAGCATTGGATTTGGATGTAGAAAGTTGTGCTTTATTCCCATTTCTTCTAACTGTGTGGCCCTGGGTAAGATATTAGGCCATAGAATTCAGTTTTATTTTTAAAATGAAAGTGTTGAGACTAGATGAATTTTGAAGTCTTTTTGTTTTACAGTTCTGTTAACTATAATTTTTAACTCTATAATATCTCAGAGCACTCATTTACAACATATTTGCAAACATAAAAATTAAAAATTCATCATCTGGGGAGGTGGTTTTATTGGACAAGTTTTTCTGACATTCTGTGCTTGAAAACTTAATGATGTGATAAAATATTTGTTCTCAATATATTCATATTTCCCTCCTTAGACAGCTTGTATTTTTGATGGTGGAGTAAAGTAACTGAGTGAGATATAGTTTTAAAAACAGCTTGTTTAATTTTCCTGAAAACATGCTAATGTATGTTAATATTACAGTCTTTTTACATGTAAGTTTCAGATGCTGCTGAAGGCCTTTCGTTATATTTACTGGATGATGAAATGGATGGGCCATTTTCTTCATCGAGCTTCAGTGGTTATAGCAGAAGTGGAAATAGCCATGACCCAGGGAAAGCCAAATCATTTCGGAATAGAGTTTTACCAATTAAACAAGGTAGGAAATAAATATGGACAGGGCATTTATTCTCTGTTCTCTTATGGTGACAGATGAATTATTTAAAAGCTGATGTGTTTAGGTAGTAAAAATTAACATGCCCTTATAGTTAATGACAATTTTAATGTTGTATTAAATTTGAGTAAGATAGGGGTTCATATCTACAATCAGGAACAAGCCATGAGCAGATTTCAATAACTACTTCAAAATATATGTTAGTCTTTTAAAATAAAATATGAAATAATAAGGAGGAAAAACTAAATGAAGAGCTATTTCAAACCAAATCCTTTTTTGAAATTGAGATAGCCCTTAAAAATATAAAGCCTATCTAAAGATGATTTTGGAATTTTTTTCCTTTGTTATTAATATAGTTTAATATATGAAACATATTTTTATTTTTTGTAAATTTTAATGAAAGATTAAGTAGCATATCCATTATTGTTGAACTATCAATGACTTAAAAATGGACTTTTCTAAACATATAATTTATATTGGTATATGAAAAATATTGAAATATTTGATTACTTTAAAATATTTAGTGCCTTTATTTTTCCCAATTTGTATCTTTATTCTCTTCTCTGATTGTGCTTCACATTGACTACTCGTGCCACTTTCTTATCTTTTTTCCCTCCCCTTCACTGTCAAGCTATTAGAATAGCCTTTATTTCTTGTTTCTGTTTTCTTTCTATCTAAAAATTCCTTTATCCTTTATTGTCTGGCTTCTGACACCACCACTCTCCAAAAGCTGTTCTCTCCAGAATCACCTATTCTCTTTAGTAACCAACCAGTGTTCTGTTCTTAGTCTCTATCACCTTGATTTTATCTGTCTTTACATACTATTAAATACCCCTCCTAGGAACCCTCCTGCCAGGCTTCTTTCCTGATCTTATCGTACATCTCTGTTTTCTTACATTTCTGTATTTTCTGTTTCTTTTCTTTGACTATACTTACCTCCTATTTGCAGAGTTTTCCACAGGTTTCTTGATTTGTTTGTTTTGGGCTTTTTTTTTCTTTGAGTCTTCTGCAAATAATCTGGTAACTACATTAATCATCTTTATGCTGATGACTCTCCAAATTCACATATCTAGCCCTAACATTTCGTTATTCTACCAGTTTCATCTCCTTGTGCTTCCTAAGATAATTTCCTTGGGTGCTTATCTTCCATCTTTCTGTGTCAAACTTACTTCTATTTCTGCACTCACTATTTTAGTTAATGTCACCACCATCTTCCTAGTCACCCAACTTAAAATCTTGCAGTGTTCTTAGACACTTCTTTTACCCCTCATATCTAGTCAGTTGCTAAGTTTTGTGAATTCTAAAACTTTTTAATACCACTTAAATCCTTTGTCCACAGTTTCTGTTGCTATCACCTTAGTTTCTATCCTACTATATTTGTTAGTCTGGGCTGTTACAATATGATACCGCAGACTGGATGGCTTAAAAGCAGATATTTGCTTTTAGCAACTTTATTGAGATATCACTGGCATATAAAATAATGTATATATTTAAAGTGTACAACTTGATGTCTTGATATATGTATACATTGTGAAATGGTCACCACAAACTAATTATAACAGATCCATCACCTCTACATAGTTACCCTGTGTGTTAAAAGTTAAGATCTCTCCTTTTAGCAAATTTCAAGTATACCATACAGTATTGTTAACTATAATCACCATGCTGTACCTTAGATACCCAGAACTTATTCATTCTGAATAACTGAATTTTTATACCCTTTGACCTATGTCAAATAAATAAATTCATCTAACTCTAGCCCCTAGCAACCACCATCCTACTCTCTGTTTTTATGAATATGACTGTTTTCGATTATATACGTAAGTGACATGCAGTATTTCTCTTGCCCCGTCTTTCTCATTTTGCTTAGCGTAATACCTTCCCAGCTCTGAACATGTTATCACAAAATGCAAAATTTCCTTCTTTTTAAAGGCTGAGTAATATTCCATTATGAGGTGTGAGTGTGTGCATTATATTTTTTTACATTCATCTGCAGAAGTACATATAGATTATTTCCATATCTTGGCTATTGTGAATAATGCTGCAGTGAACATGGGAGTACAGATACCTCTTAAAGACCCCAACTTCAGTTCCTTTGTATATATATCTGGAAGTGGGGTTACTAGATCAAATAATAGTTGTATTTCTAATATTTTGAGGAACCCCCATAAATATTTCCATAATGGCTATATTAATTTTCTCTTTTCTCCACATCCTTGCCAACAATTATTATCTCTTACCTTTTTTTTTTCAAAGAAAGAGAACTTGGCCAGTAATATTTATTTCTGTAAAACAAGGTGAGTGTACAAAAAGACCACTACAAGCCCATGTATGTCAGACATTTTCCATTCTCTGCATTTCCTCCCTCAGTGGCAAAGTGCATGAGACCTGGGAAGGATGAAGGGTGCTGGTACAGGGTGTGGATGATGGATGGAAGAAGCAGGACAGTAGGACATAGACATGTGGTATTATGCCCACAGCCACATTGGGTGCTGACCTTCCTTAAAAATTGTTATTTTAAATCCAGTTAGTTAAGGGGCGCCTGGGTGGCTCAGTGGGTTAAGCCTCTGCCTTCCACTCAGGTCATGATCTCAGTGTCCGGGGATCGAGCCCCACATCGGGCTCTCTGCTCAGCAGGAAGCCTGTTTCTCCCTCCCTCTCTCTGCCTGCCTCTCTGCCTACATGTGATCTCTCTCTGTCAAAGAAATAAATAAAATCTTTAAAAAAATAAATAAAGCCAGTTAGTTAACATACACTGTTATATTAGTTTCAAGTATATAATATGTGATTTAGCAGTTACATACATCACCTGGTACTCATCACAAGAAGTGCACTCCTTAATCCCCGTCACCTATTTAACTCATCCCCCCCACGCACCTCCCCTCTGGTAACTATAAGTTTGTTCTCTATAATTAAGAGTCTTTTTCTTGATTTGTCTCTCTCTCTTTTCTTCTTTTTGCTCATGTTTTTTGTTTCTTAAATTCAATGTATGAAGTCATATGGTATTTGTCTTTCTCTGACTTATTTCATTTATGTATTACTTTCTAGCTCCATCCATGTCATTGCAAATGGCAATATTTCATTCTTTTTATGGCTGAATAATATTCCACTGTGTGTGTGTGTGTGTGTGTGTGCACGCATGCATGTGTGTGCACATTTTTGTACATGTACCACATCTTCTTTATCCATTTATTATTCAGTGGATACTTGGGCTCCTTCCATATCTTGGCTGTGGTTGATAATGCTGCTGTAAACGTAGGGGTGCTTGTATGCCTTTGTATTTTATTTTTTGGTAAATACCCAGTAGTGTGATTGCTGGATCATAAGGTAGTTCTGTTTGTAACTTTTTGAGGACCATAATGTTTTGCACAGTGACTATACCAGATTGCATTCCCATCAGTAGTGCAAGAGGGTTCCATTCTCTCAACAACTTCGCCAACACCTGTGTTTCTTGTGTTGGTGATTTTAGACATTCTGACAGGTGTGATGTGGTATCTCATTATAGTTTTGATTTGCATTTCCCTCCACAGTAAGTGACGATGAACATCTTTTCATGTGTCTTTTGGCCATCTGAATGTCTCGATGTCTTCCTTGAAGAAATGTCTGTTCATACCTTCTACCCATTTCTTAATTAGATTATTTGTTTTGGAGTGTTGAGTTTTATAAGTTCTTTATATGTTTTGGAAACTAACTCTTTATTGGATATACTTGAAAATACCTTCTCCCATTCAGGAGGTTGCCATGTAGTTTTCTTAATTATTTCCTTCATTATGTAGAAGCTTTTTATTTTGATGTAGTCCCAATAGTTTGTTTTTGGTTTTGTTTTCCTTCACTCAGGAGACATATGTAGTAAGAAGTTGCTACAACCAGTGTCAAAAAGATTACTGCCTGTGTTCTCTTCTAGGACTTTCATGATTTCAGGTCTCACATTTAGGTCTTTAATCCATTTTTATTTTATTTTTATGTGTGTTTCAAGAAAGTGATCTACTTTTACCCTTTTGCATGTTGCTATCCAGTTTTCCCAACACTAGTTGTTGAAGAAACTGTCTTTTTCCTATTGGATATTTCTTTCCACTTTTCTTTCCAGCACCATATAGCTGTAAGATTATTTCTGGGTTTTCTATTCTGTTCCATTATTCTCTTTGTCTTTTTTTGTGCCAGTGCCATACTATTTTGATTACTAGAGCTTTGTAATATAACTTGAAATCTCTAATTGTGATGACTCCAGCTTTGCTTTTTTTTTTTTTTTTTTTAATCAGGATTTCTTTGGCTATTTGGGGTCTTTCCATTGTCATACAAATTTTAGGATTGTTTGTTCTAGTCCTGTAAAAAAAGTGTTGGTATTTTGATTGGGATTCCAATAAATCTGTAGAATGCTTTGGGTACTACAGATATTTTGACAATACTTATTCTTTCAATCTATGAGCATAGAATGTCTTCCCATTTCTTTGTGTCATCTTCAGTTACTTTCATCAGCGTTTTGTAGTTTTTATAGTCAAGGTCTTTCACCTCTTTGGTTAGGTTTATTCCTAAGTAATTGTAAGTGAAATTGTTTTCTTAATTTTTCTTTCTGCTGCTTCATTATTGATATATAGAAATGAAGCAGATTTCTGTACATTGATGTTTTGATCCTGTGACTTTACTAAATTTGTTTATCAGTTCTGGCAGTTTTGTATGTGTGTGTATGTGTGTGGAGCTTTCAAGTTTTCTGTATACAGTTTCATGTCATCAGCAAATAGTGAAAGTTTTATTTCTTCCTTCCCTATTTGGATGAATTTTATTTCATTTTGTTACCTGATGGCTTTGTCTGGGACTTCAGTACTATGTTGAATAAAAGTGGTGAGAGTGGATAATCCTTGTCTTGTTCCTGACCTTAGAGAAAAAGCTCTTAGTTTTGCCATATTAAGGATGATTTTATCTGTGGGTTTTTCATATATGGCCTTTATGATGTTGAGTTATGTTCCCTTGAGACCTACTTTATTGAA